CTCTCTCTCTCTCTCTCTCTCTCTCTACCTACCTATTCACCTTTCTTTTTCGTCCTTTTTCTCATCCCCTCTCCCGTTATGTACTTCTCAAGGTCGTGCCCTGTTCGCTTGTCATCATTTTTTGTCATTCTGATGATCCAGATATTTGCTTGTTTTTGGGGCTGTTTTTCCCTGTTTGTTTTTAATGTTGATTTCTTCTTGATGTTCTCCTATTTGGTTTAACCCAAAAAAAGAAGAAAAGAGGGGAGGGGGGGGGGCGTACTGACTGGAAATGTCAGCTGTCACTGATGTAGCGTTCTTCCCTTTATGTGTAGGCTACTATTTCTCCCCCTGTTATGATGATGTCTGGTGCGCGTGATGTCAGGCAAAAGTTTGGCCAGCTTTCTCTTTCTTATCTGTTGTTAGTCTTCTACTGTGCATCCCCATCCCTGAACGTGCCCCTGCAAACGCATGCTCTGTCAGCTCGGTCAGTGCTTACGGGTGACGCATGCAACCTCTGGTAGTCGTTGTTGACTGTTGATTTGTACTGCTGCTGTTGTCAGAGGTTGTAATTTATTATTCTAGTCCAATTGTTTGTTTGTTCTGCAGAAGCGTATTGTAACTTCTAGCTGGCCTGTGGAGGTTTACAGTGTTGTCTTTCGGGGTTAAAACGCCGCGACTGCCGCGACTGTCGCGCCTGTAGTAACCGGCGTCCGTGGTGTAGCGATAAGGCGCTTCGCTGTCGGATCCAGAAGACCTGAGTTCGACTTTCGTGTCTGGGTTTTTTGGTTGTTGTTTTTTTGTTGTTGGGTACCCCGTCTGTCTTCTGAGCCATTGGTTCTCCCTGATCCCGGGTTGGCCTTGACAGGCATGGCCTCCTGAACAATCTAAATCTGAATGCTGCCAATGGCGCCTTAAAACACAAACTGTTTTTAAAAAAACCCAAAATGTATAAAATATTTTTGGTACACAATGATGGTGACTTGAATGTGAGATACCTTCCTCTATTGCTCTAATAGTTTGTAATGACATGAGAGAAGACGTACATGTAAAAAAAAACAACAGGTGTCAGAGTCTTCTGCTACTGTCTGGTAAGAGAAAACTGAGAAAACGTTGAACGTATCGAAGACCCCGACAGTTAACAGATGGCATAGTATCATGCTGGGCTGGCTAAAATGGCGACTCATGTTTGAATGTCCAAGAAGGCGTTCTTGAAATCCTGTTGTTTAGGGAGACTCTATAACTCTCTAAACCCGTGGATCAATCTTATCGGAGAATGGCGTTCGATTGAAAATCCTGTCTGGTTTTGAGTAAGCTCACTTTGCTGAAAGGAGTTATGAACTAGACTGTGTTCGGATGGTTGGAGAATGCCATTGGTAGGCCCTGTACTTCTTTACTTCCCCTCTATTGTTTCTGTCTTCTGTCTTTTTCTTTTCACACGCACTGAATTGCCGTTGTTGTGTCTACGTGCTTCTCTTGTCTCAAACAAACAAACAAACCAGACTGTGACACACGTGACAAAGATTAAATATGTTGATTACGGCTGGTTCTTTTCTATGCCATTTGTCGACTCCTGTAGGCTCCCGTGTCATCGCTGATTGCAGAAACGGGTAGAACGTGTCTACATGATACGTTTGTATGGACTCGCGGTCGCTTTCGTGTTTGTCTGTCCTACGGTACCAACTAATCACTCTGTCTCTCTGTCTCTCTCTCTCTCTCTGTCTGTCTCTGTCTCTGTCTCTGTCTCTATCTCTCTCTCCCCTTCTCCCTCTTTCTCTCTCTCTCTCTCTCTCTCTCTCTCTCTCTCTCTCTCTCTCTCTCTCTCTCTCTCCCCTTCTCCCTCTTTCTCTCTCTCCCTCATTCTCTCTCTGTGTCTCTCTGCGTGTGTGTGTAAGTTGAGATTTTTCCCAGTAGGGGGGCGGGGAAGGGGCTTATTTTCAGTGGGCCGGGTAATACCTCTTTTGTTTAAATCGTTATGTTTCAGCTGGCGCTGCATATAATGCATTTTGTCCACAGCTTCTATCTGTCGAGGTTGTACCTTATTGTGTCTCCCCAACCGGTCTCAAGTGTTACCTTTGTATATTGTGTGTGTGTGTGTGTGAGAGAGAGAGAGAGAGAACGAGAACGAGAGAGAGAGAGAGAGAGAGAGAGAGAGAGAGAGAGAGAGAGAGAGAGAGAGAGAGAGAGAGAGAGAGAGAGAGAGAGAGAGAGAGAGAGAGAGATTTACAGACCTAGAGAAATTGGGGAGATGAAGACATCGGACTTGCTGACACCTTCAAACTGTATTGCCTGGACATTGATTCGATGTTGTAGGATATTTGTTCGTTGGATGTACCTACAAGTGTTTCTCACTTTGACTTTGAACGTCATTTAAAAAAAAAAACTTCTCTCGAATGCTTTGCTTACGTCGATATGTTGTATCGTTATGTGAATGATGTGGCTTATATTTACTTTTCATATGATATTAGCGATATTTGATATTCAATGGTTTTTGTGTATTCGAATATCACCATATGAACTATTACCTGGTCTCAATTGTATCTTCTTCTTTTGTGTGTTTTATTACTCTGCAAAAATATAGAACTAGATCTATACTACACGTCAAATGTATAGGTGTTCTTTGTATGTATGAAAAATGTGCATTTTAGAATTTTGGCTTTTAAAAAATTATACACGGCGCAGCAGTATACTGGGTCTTGTTTCTAGGGTTTGGAAAGGGGGGGGGGGAGGAGTGTTTTGATAACTTAAAATTATAGTTTGGATTTAGTGTCCTGTTGTTAAAGAAATACTACTTGATGATATATGGTCTGTCTACCTATCTGTCTGTTCCAACTTATATCTACATGTCTAGATCATTTACATTGTTGCATATCTGGGAACTTTTTTTTGTCTTATAGCTTTTCCAAACAAAAATAGGGGGGGGGGATTTGTGGGCAGAAAATGTAGGAATTGTATTTTAGCGTTTTGTGACTTTTATCACATTTGCAATTAATAGAGTCAAGACAATTTTTAAATTGTATTTGTGTATTCATTGTATTACATATTTTGATACTGTTGTATAGTTTATTTTTATGTTCGCCAAGTGGTCTGTCTTGTTTAGTCCAAAACTATTTTGGTATGCCTTGAACTTTTTGTATTTTTAGATGCTGTTAATGAGAAGAAAATGCTTTTTAAAAATGATATTTTTTTGACATGGATATGATTACTTTTTTCATGGCTTCATAGATTCCAGTTCCATTCATCGTAAGTACCCACAGACCGGCGCTGCTCTTGTGTGATGTTATCTGTAGCATGTGGCTCGCCTCTTGTCGTAGCTAGGGTAACAACTGCAGCAGTGTCACTGGCCAGACCGTGGAGTCGATGCTGGCCACTAATCGCTAATGAAGCGCTTTTTAGATGAACTTCGTCCTGTTGTTTCACCTTTTTTCTTGTGTTTGTGTGTTATTGAGCGTTCACAGGCCTTAGCACGTGTGATAATATTTCTGTGCTATCAATTTTATGTGTGAAATGTTTTGATGTACTTTTGGAAAGGAAGGTTCAGCATTACTGCGACAAAGTACAGTCGAAGCTGTCTAAGACGGCCACCCGTTGTCGAGTAAAAATATGTCTGTCTTAGACAGGTGGTTGTCTTACACAGTCTCATTATAATGCGAAAAAATACGTTAGGGGGAGGGGGTGAAAAAAATGGCCTTTTGTACCGGTGATTATCTTAAACAGGTGGCCGTTAGGGCACGTTTGACTGTATTACAATGGGTCGTACTTTGTTATCAAGTGCTGCCCTCGTGTGTTGACTGTTCCTGCAAAATGATCATGTGATTTAAGTGACTGTAGTCACCCAGTGTCAAAGCTTCATCCCTCTTTAGACCCAGTTCTTCTGTTGTACTAGTATCACTGCAAGACTGCCAGCGTGTTTGCAATATTAATAATTGCACTCTTCCGTGTCCTAACATGCACGTTGACGATACCTCCATGTTGTTTTAGTTTGGACTGTGCTATATTACGATAATATTTCACTAGTTTTTGTATAAACATGCCTTTGTATGTCCTTGAAATTGTTGTCTTCCTTCCGGTGTTGTGTTCTTGCACTTTACTGTCACATCTTCAGGATTTTTTTTTTGGTTTGTTTGTTTGTTTTGTTTTGCTTACTCTGAGGCACGTGTCAGGCAATGTTGGAGTTGAACGAGTTCACTTAAGTGACACGAACGATTAATAATGCAAAAGACGGATACGCTTGCCAGCTACAAGGCCTACGAGATTTAAAGTAGCAGATGTACTCCCCAATGATAAGGTTCAGCTGTAATCTCTTCTGTTGCCATGGGTGCAGTTGACACCTCTCGCCCCACGAGTGTAGCCCAGAGTGGGACTTAACATTGCGAGGTTTCCTTTTAAGGTTTTAAGAGGTGGGCGAAGACTTTTTCCTCGTGTCCCGCTCGGCTTGGATTGGTAGGTGTGCGCAATGTCGAAGCTGCCCGCCTGCTAAATGGTCTGAATCGTTTTCATGAAGACGTAAAACATACAACTAAGTACAACTAACGACATAATCTGGTCCTTTCAGAGGTCAGCTCTTTGGATAATAAACGAATGCGCCATAGGTTCGAAGAGGGGGAAGGGGAGGGGGGTTATATGATTCCTGCATCAGAATAACTGAGTAACGGAGCTTGCGCATCGTTGCAAAAATGCTACTACTATGCAGAAAATGCACGGTGATCTCGTGTGTACTAGGGTCCCTGGATGCTCCACGGTTGTCGTGGGCTGTTTGACATACTGGGCTTGATGTCACCTCATAGAAAACTTTCTGTAGGACCTTTTGGTTGAGGTCAAGGAGCACTTTTTAAAAAAGCTTTAGCGTCTTAGAGCCAGAATGCGCTTTACTTTTCTTTATATGAAACTAGATGAAATGAGTTTTGGGATTAATGATGCCCCTTTGCAATCCCGGACCGGACATGAGACTGATTGCGTCTAGTTTGTCTAGTATCGTAATCTGTTTTCTCCTGAAATGTTTCACTATTTGTTCGTGTGTATTTGTGTGTGTGTGTGTGTGTGTGTGTGTGTGTGTGTGTATGTGTGTGTGTGTGTGCATTTGTGTGTGTGTGCATTTGTGTGTGTGCATTTGTGTGAGTGTGTGTGTGTGTATCTGTGCGTGTTTTATGTGTACAATATGTAGTTTCCATGGTATTTACGGAATGGTGTCTTTGCAACTTAATTGTGTTTGTTGTTCTTCATGCTACCTATTTTGTTGTGCTTGCAGTAAAGTCGTGTGTTTTTTGTGTGTGTTTTTTTTAAGGGGGGAGGGTGTCATCTTTACTAAATATTTTCATTCTTATTGTTTTATTACTTAGTTCAGGTGTATGAAGAAAAATATTTATTCTAACTCACAAAATAGTGACATAGAAGAAATCTAGACAGGTCACTGCACTTTTGTTATTTACTTAACCGTGTAGGTCAACATAATATTTTGAGCCAGGAGCTTTTTAGTCTTAGTTTCTCTTGCTTGTTTTACGAGCTAGTCAGGTAGACCCAGTTCGTTTTGCTTATCCGAGTCAGTCGAATTGAGTCGGAGCCAGTCAAATTTTTTCTCCATGAAGGGGAAAAGGGTACCATTTTAGCATAAAGCAAAGTGATCAAATCCTCCAAAATCAAACATGGCTGTTTGAGTGGTTAGTGTACAATCAAACTAAAAAATATAGTTTTTGGAGGATTTGATCAAATTATGCCAAAAGGACAGCTTTTGCCCCTCCATGAAGAACAATCCTGGCCGACCTCGACAGTGTAAAAAAAAAAAATCAAATTTATCAAACGGGCAATGCGCACGGTGTAGTAACTCACTGTGGCTACGTCTACGGTTACATTTATACTTTGTCCACATTGATGTCTTTGTACGATCTGACCAGTCGACATAACGGTCTCCCTCATACATAACCAGTAGCCAGCACCGGTGGGAGTTAGGCTCAAACTTTGCTATTTCCAATGGGCCGTAGTACAGAGTTTTACGTTTGATATGTCGCTTCCACTCAACATTTAAGGATAAAAAAAGCCCTTTTCATTTTAACATTTCATTGCTTTCTTCTCTGCCTTCATTATGGTGAGCGTTGTCTACATACCAGTTGCGACTGACCGCAGTTCTTTAGTGGGGTTTTTTTGGGGGGTTTTTTTTTGGGGGGGGGGAGGGGGGGTACAGCTAAAGAAAAAAAAAGAGAAAGAGAAATGGGCATGCCAAAGATGACTCGCATTTGTCAATGCACTTCTCATTGACTGGGCATGGGGCATACCCTTCGGCTTTTCATTATGACTGTGCACAAAGTAATCTTATTATTCCTGTAGTACATCGCTAGACCCAATAGCTTGTGCGTATTTGGCGGAAGAGCAGAGAAGACAAGAGACAGCACCCAACATGCCGTTGTGTGTGACGTGACTGTTCTCCGCAGTCATAGACTCGTCCTTGTCTGTGATTTGGACCGGCGTCTGTGGTACATGTATAGCGGTTGGGCGCTTCGCTGCCACACGCAGGAGACTCAAGTTCGATTCCCAAGTAGGGAGAATTGTATCGACTATCTCGGTCTTTCTGCTGGGATGTTGTATCCCTCTTAGCCTGGATTGGCCCTGATAAGCAGGGTCGGAAGCCCGCCCCCTAAACGATCTTCAAAATTGCTTCAATGGGTGACATGAATACAGCTCCATTGAAAAGAGGTCAAACTTAGTAAACCTCAGCCAACACCTCGTGCACGTGACGTGACTGATCTCCACAGTCACAGACTCAGTCTTGTCAGTTAATCAGCCCTGTTTGTGGAGCATCTTGCACTGGCGATATTAATCTTGTGTTTGTTTCCAGCAGGTTAAATATAGTGTTTTTAAACTGTACATAATTGTTGTTGTTTCTGTGAATGTAACTGAAACTCAGGGGGGAAAACGGCTTTAATCACATTAAAAGTATCGTGGACTACTGTCTTTCAGGTGTCTATATTTTGGACTACTGCCACCGTTTCCATGTGCGGCTGTTTAAAATATATCACCAGAATAGGCAAAGGCAAAAAAAAATTTTAAAAATATATGAACAAATGAATAATGAATTAATGGATTGTGACTAATTCTATTTCCCCCTTGTACTCTTCAATTGTTTCAACGTTTTACAAGTGCATGGCTTTCGTGGTCTCAACTGATGTGCCCTCCTAATTAATATAATTGTGATCTTTTTGCAACTCAGATGTTATCATTGAAATTTGTTAAGTCCATCGACTAAGTCATGGGACTTTTATGTTGGTAGACGAAGCGACAGGACTGTCTTTTTGGGGACTGTTAATCAAATAAACAGTGTAGTAAATAGCACCACTTCTTTAAAAAAGGATAGGAAGAATCAATTCAATCTATTCTTTTTTTTCCTACCCCCCCCCCTCCCCTGTCTCAGCCAGGTGATCTGAGATGAGTCCACGTGTTCTTTTTTAAATTATTTTTTAAAATAGATAAACTAAGTCGTGTCCAGAAGGGCATCGAACTATTCTGTTATATTTTGGGTCCTAATTCTTTTGGGGATTTGACAAAACACGTGGGAATTATAACATCCTGTACGGTAACTAAAGGACGTGGGCGGTCTTCTCGTTCGGATGGACAGAAGGGTTACACAGGCGTCTGAGGGGTAGCGGTTAAGCGTTTTAGCGTCGTAGACAGAAGATCTGAGTTCGGTTCCTGTGTGGGGAAGATTTTTATTCAGTATCTCTGTCTTTCTGCTGGGACGTTGTATCTCTCTCAGCCCGTGTTGGCCCTGGCAGGCACGGTCGAAGCCCACCTCCTAGAGCATCTAAATTGTGTCGATAGGGGCGTAAAAACATCTACAATTAAATTAAATCATGGTTGCCGTAAGTTGATGGAAGTAGTTTCCTTTGATCTGCTATAAACGTTTAGTCACGAGCTGTAGAGCTTAATACAAAAGTACAATCTAAGACGGCATCCGTTGTGGAGAAGGAAAGTGGTCGTCCTGGACAGATGACTGTCTTACACAATGCTATTTTAGTGTCAAAAATACGCAAGAGGAAGGAAATGGGAAGTGTGTGGTTGTCTTATACAAGTGGCCTTCAGAGTAGGTTTGACTATACTACAGTACTATGAGTTGACGAGGCAAAGGCGAGGAAGAGTAGGAGCAAGACCAGGGACCCGCGCCGTTGGAGTGGATGCAACCACTCCTACCCCACTCTCTCCCCGCAGCTGTGAGCACAAACTGTTGATGCGTCATAGAAGCGCTCGCTCGCTCACTCACTCACTTGCCGACTGGCGCTCGTTAGAACTCCTCGTCATAGGAATTGATCATTAATTGAGGGGAAATTTGCACACGTAGCGTGTGTCTTTGTGTGTGTGTGTGTGTGTGTGTGTGTGTGTGTGTGTGTGTGTGTGTGTGAGTGAGAGAGAGAGAGGGGGGGGGAGGGGAAGAATGTTTTTACGCTCCTGTCGACACAATTTAATCATTTTAAGGGGGCAGGCTGCTTTGGATATGTCTGGCCCAACCTGACCTTGCGGAGTTTTGTTTTATTTTTGAAAAAGGGGGGGGGGGGGAGAATAGTACACCTCGTGCTCACGCAAGTTCAGTCGAAACTAAGACGGCCATCCGTTGCCGAAAAGAAAAGTGGCGTCTTACGTAGTGTCATTATAATATGAAAAGTACCTTAGGAAGGAAATACAAAGTGGTCGTTGTACAGGTGTTTGTCTTATACAGGTGGTCGGTAGAACAGGTTCGACTGTTTAAATGTATTTTCCGGCACAGTCGAGCAGGTTTCTACATATTGTGCAGACAGAATAGATAGGATGGGTGTCGATCTTTCGGCCTTGGAGATGAGAACGTGAGCACAGTACACAAGTTTCAAAACCGCCTCAGCTGTTGCCTCGTACGTGCAGTTCTTATTGCTGTTGAATGCTCTCATTATGCAGCACGGAGGGAACACATCCGTTATCCTTTGTGCTCAAGGAGTCCACCCCTAACCCCCTGCCCCCTTCTTTAGAAAAAAAAAATCTTCCCTTCCCTCAAATCACACTCGCGGACCTTCAAAAACAATTATTTCTGTCCTTTAATATGTTTTTCTTCGACATATCGGTATGACATCCCTGGGTGGGCGGCATTTCACGTGTTACCTTTTTTTTTTCTTCTTAGAATATAGAGCTGCGAGCGCGAGTTATTTTATCCATGCTTGCTCTCTATTCTCGAGTTCTTCAAATTGGAAGAAAGGGTGCGGTTTGTTTGTTTTTTCTGGGGGGTGGGGGTGTATATCAGTCTCCCCCCATCATTTTTGATTTTGTAGATATACTTGTAAATAAATAAAAAAGCAAGGTGTTATTTTATTATGTCATTATTCTTAAGGTGATATGTTTTAGCTATCCTAAGTTTCACCGTAGCCGACTGCGTATGCTCGCCGCAAAGTACATGTGTTCCTTACCCCGTGGCAGTTTACTCAACAATCTTATGCTTTAGGTCCCTCTTTTGTTAGTAGAAAATGGACGCATAATGCATGTATAAAACAAAGACGTTGCCAAAAGTGTTGCCTTGACAAGAAATGCTCATGTGTCCACAATGTAACGTGACTGGGTTCAACTATGCTGGAACCTTCACCATTTTGTTGTTTCATTGTCGTTGGAAATTATGTGTGTGGTTATTTTCTGTCTTTTGAAAGTTTGATGATGGATGTCTTGTTTCTAATTGACTAATATTGTGATGTTTCTCACTATTGTGAAAAGCATGGTTGTCACTGTTTAAAGAAGAAACATGCATGTGTATTTTTTTTTAACACTCTGTATACAATTATGATTTATTTTAAAATGGTGTAATATATTACAGGGTTTTCTTTTCTGTTATCTGCCTTAGTGTTTCTTATCCTTCAGTGCGTTTCATCGCACAAGTACACATTAAAAAAAAAGAAAAGTTCTGTTTGTTTTGATAATGTTTAATTTTAAGTCCTGATTCATTCACAAATTAGATCTGTATCCTTATACATATTCAGCACTCATGTAGAATTGTCATTTTTGGACAGATATATAATTAATGACATTTTGCTGGTGTTGTATTTCATGAAGGCTTTTCAATTTGTAACTCATATGATCTCGTATCAGGGTGCATTAAATTTTTTGCTTATGATACCTATTTTGATCTGTTTTTGTGACATATTGACATTTATTTGATTTATGCACTGCAGTAGCACTCTCCATTTTTGAAGAAATCCATTTGTTCTTTCCATTTTCTAATGAAGACTTAACATATAATTCTGCTCAGATGTGATAACCGTGTCTTATTTTCTATTTTTTAAAACCAGAAACGCAAAATGCTTGGCGACTCAACCTCTACTCAAGTCCTCAGAGACCTGGAGATTTCACTTCGGACCAATCACATAGAGTGGGTTATTTTGGTTATGTAGTTCCAACTTGCTTGCTGTGTTTTTTTTACAGCATTGATAAATTGTATTCTGCAAGACAGAACACTCCTCGCATTCGAAAAATAATAATAATGTGTTCAACATTGCAGATAGTGACCTATATATTATTTCATGCTGGATGCTGTTTTGATACTTTAAAAAAAAGAATTGTCATTACTCTAGTTTTTTTTAGTCTTTGTTGTTTATTTCATTTTCATACATGTTTTCTTTTTTTAATATTTTTAAAAAAAGAATATTTCCTATGTTTGAAAAGTTGAGATATGTATTTTGATAGAAACCATGCATTAGACTGTTGCATATCAACTTGGGTTTTTTTTTTTAAGCGACTCGTGACATGAGTTTGACATGTATTCATCATCACTGTTCTTTATGTTCTCAGATGGGTGCGTGAGTTTTTGAATGAAAGCAACAAAGGTCTAGATGTCCTAGTGGATTACCTGTCATTTTCGCAAGTGGTTATGAGGTAAGAAGTTCATTGGAAAAATGAATCCCATGTTAGCCCACTGTATTGTATGGGGCTGATTGCTGGGCAGGTTAAGCTGAGATATTTTTAAAAGAAATGTTCGTCTGCCTTCCCATCCAGCTTCTAAATAAGTCATGACCTGACAGAGAGTACAAACAAGAAGATTACTTCTTGTCTTATGGAAGTTTTCATTGGCTCTAACAATTATTCGCACGTTTACAAATTTGTAATAATAATAATAATAATGGAAATTATTAAAGTTCTAGTAAAATTTTCATCCTCTGGCCAGGTTTTACTTAAAAAAACCTAGTTAAAATTCGGGGGGGGGGGGGGGGGGGGGGGAGGTGTTGTCAGTCCTGGGGGACATTTGTTTTTGCATGAGACTGTTTCAGGATTGAAGAGTTTCCTGAGGTTGTTTTTTGTTTTTAAATATATTTTTAGATTGTGCAATGTAGATAACAGCTGTGCAAACTTTGACTTGTGAAATGTTTACCTACCTACAATCAGGCGAGAGCAGCTCCTCAATAACGAAAAGACTGCCAGCCTAGACTCTGGGCTGAGCCGAAGTCCACGTCGCTACCTGAAGCGCTCCAACACGATTGGCTCACCGCGCAACAGCAAACATATCAACAAGCTGAACATGGGCGAGGCCCGGGACGACGTTCACGTCTGCATCATGTGTCTGCGCGCCATCATGAACCACCAGGTACCCAAGGGGTTTACTACTAGTCTACTCAGAGATTTATGATTTGATGGAGACACCGGCCTAATGCTGCAGATTCACGTATAGTAAAGGGTTTATATTGTTATGCTGCTGGCAATGCTTTAGTCTATTCGAGTTCACAGAACTTTATGATTATCAATGTTGGTTTCAATGTTCGGTCCTAGTGTTATTTTAGTGGCTTTCAGGATTTGTAAAGTTTCATCATAAGATTTGCTTTTGGTATCTGTTAATTAGTGGATGTTAAGAAATAGTCTTGTTGTTGTAATTGTGAAAGAATCATTGCTTTTACCAATTTTTTATTTTTTTTTAGATTGACTTACAAATTATTGATTCGGTTGGATTAGTTGATTAAACTATGAGGTTTATTTTTCTCTCTTGGTGAAGCTATGCTAGTAATGAGATTTGTATGTTATTTTATCTGTATTTTTGGACAAATTTTTGCAGTAAACAGCACATGCTGTTTATAGTTATTAACGTATTATTCTTTGTAACATTTAATGTAGATGTTTTCCTTGATTATTGATTATCAAGACATGGGGCTTAGTCTTCTAATTATCAGCATTATATTAATTTTTATTGGATATAGTTTTATTGAACCTGTGTTTTCACAGATCTACTCAGTTAAGATTTTTGATGGGTTTTTTTTCTCTTGTTTCAGTATGGTTTCAACCTTGTCATTGCTCATAAGGATGCAATCAACTGTATAGCTCTCAGTCTCAACCACAGAAGCTTAAGGTAAGTTCTCCTCCCATTTAACGGATGTGTTTGTTTGTTTGTTTTAGTAGAGGTTTTACGGCGCTCGCAACTGCATGGTCATATGAGCGCCAGAAGATTAGAGGTGTTACAAGAGAGTAACAAACACAAAAAAGAAGAAGGGGAGATAAGGACGACAGATATTTGATAGGAAAGAAGAAGCAAACCACACCAGAGCACCCGCCAACCACCCACACGGATGTGTAGTTTTCTTGAGAAATATATCTGGGTCTGTTAGTGTAGTTGTCATCATACGGTTCTTACTTTTAATCCTTTTTCTATAATCTTACTTAAATAAATAATAGGTATTGACCAATGAATATAAGCAGGGTGCATAACTGAAGGTTTTTTGGGTTGTTTTTTTTTACCGTATTGTCAAGGTTTGTAAGCTGTCCGTGAGTTTGATTACGTGGAGACCACAATTAAAATGACAGTAAAGGTCTAAAGCTATGGTAAAATACTGTGCATGAGTTTTGTTTGGAGACAAGAACAGTAATGTTGGGATTAGTATCTCTAGCCTTTTGCTTTCAAGGCTGATTAGACTGAACTTAACATTGACATGTTTTATGGTATTAATGTTTTGTTTTGTTTTGTCCCAACAGAACCAAAGCGCTGGTGTTGGAGTTGTTGGCAGCTGTATGTCTAGTCGCAGGAGGTCATGATATTATTCTCTCAGCATTTGACAACTTTAAGGAGGTATACCCTGTGTGGAGATGAAGTATATTATGTTGTATGCCTTTGATCAAAAAGCAAGACTTGTAAAATAAGGCTGAAATCATTTAAATCAGCCAGGTGGAATATTATAATGGGAGTCAGAATGATCCCGTCCTGCCCTTTTCCAGCAATTTTGTTTTTATTTTCAAACTGATTATTCACCTGGAGCCAGTATCATGTTCATAAGTATAATTTGGTCTGGGATTAACCTGTTTTATAGTTAAGAATTGGGTCGTTGTGAAGTGATTTGATCTAATTAATATAGATGTACGTGTGCCTTCGATGACATTTCTCAAAAAGATTTTCTGTGATCTATTTGACTTGTACCCTGTTTATCGGCAAATACATCAGCCTTGACTCATACAGATGTACTGTTTTCTCTGTATGTTAGTTTACTAATAGAGGTTTAGTCACAGCAAGCTTTTAAATCGCCATAATTTTGAATTTCCGTTCCATTTTGAAGTTTAAAAGACAAATGTTACTTTCAATAAATGGTATTGCTTTTTTTTTGGTTTTGTTTTTGGTATGCATTTTGTGCACCTGTGAATATATAAATATTGTGTGTGTTTGCCATTTATGAAATAGTTTAGGGCTACATGTACAAAATTGTGAACATCAGTTTGTAGACAGTCATTATTTTGTATTTTTTTGTTATTATTTTTTCCTCTGCATGGAATTTACTGCCATATATACTATTTCTCCTTGTAATTATTTTTCAGGTGTGTGGGGAGTTGCATAGGTTTGAGACTCTCATGGACTATTTCAAAAATTATGATGAATTCCACATAGATTTTATGGTGAGTATGAGGAATCTCTCTTTCTCTCTCTCTCTCTCTCTCTCTCTCTCTCTCTCTCTCTCTCTCTCTCTCT